GCGTCATTAAATTTTCATGATGTCGTCTCCATTAAGGATGCTGTGGGAACTTCGTTCTCTTCACTGCCAACCTCACCGTGACCAAAACAATGCTGAGTCTTTGGTATTCCCTTGGCACACGTCTTTTAAAATAGTTAAACGCCTCAGAAATAGTTAAATCCTCTGAAAAACTGTGACATGGAAATTCCCGAGTCCTTTGTTATTGATTACACGTACACGTGTGTTCTCCCCGTCCCCACCCCTACGGTGCAGCTGCGAGACATTAAGATGACCGTGGAAGAGCAACTGTAAGTCTTCCTCCTCCGTCTCTCTGTGCAGGACTTACAGCTTTTGGAGGATGGAGATCTGACCGTGATAGGAGACCGGGGAGCCACACTCAGCGGAGGGCAGAAAGCTCGGGTGAACTTGGCACGGTAACTTGACTTCCAACAGCCATGCTCTGGGTCCAGATGAAGCTTCAGGTGGTGGGTGGGGCATGTCGGGTCTGCCACCGAGTCAGTTCATGTGAAGCGCTGGCTTTGAGTATTTCCATAGACACTTTGAACATCCAGTTGCTGAGTACGGTGATCCTAAGACAGTGGCTGGTGAGGTGCTCCTCATCTGATCTCTCCCTTCGCCTTTCAGGGCCGTCTACCAAGATGCCGACATCTACCTCCTTGATGATCCCCTCAGTGCCGTCGACGCAGAAGTGGGCAAACACCTGTTCCAGCTGTGAGTTTGTTCTTTGTTAGGATAACTCTTCCCGCCAGCCTGGCCCCACACCGTGTCAGCCCCAAATGAACATTCAGACGCTGTATTAGTTATAAAGCTGTTGGCTGCTGCTGGCTCAGGCTTCTTATTGGCTAGTTCTCTCTTAATTATTAACCCATTTCAATCAATCTAAGTATTTCCACATGGCCTTATCTTACCAGAGAATGCCTGACTGGAGTCCTTTCCTCCTGGGATCACATGACGACTCTCCTCTGCCTACCTTTCCCAGAATCTCCTTGTCTCCTAGCCCCACCTATCATTCTGCCTCATTGGCCACACAGTGCTTTATTCATTAACCACTAAGAGAAACATATTTACATCTCCCATCAGTTCAGGGACCCTTTCAGATGGGCCCTGTGGAGGATCTGCCCCTCTTCTCCTCTGTCCCCCTCCCTGTGACCCGTTTTACAAAGTACAAGATTTGGGAAGGCGCTGTCGTGTGGTGGCGTGCACAGAGCCAGTGTTTTAGAGTTTCAAAATGAAAGGCATATTCTATATGCCTTTCCTCTAGCTCCTTGACGTTCATAGCCGAGACACTGGAAGACCGGCCCCCAGGAAGAAAAAGATGTGCACTTTTAAATTGAAGGAAGTGACTTGGTAGCTTGGTAGTGGGGAGTCTGCTCTTTTCTTACTTTATTTCGATGTATATGTGTATCCGTGTATGGTGTACGCGTGTATATGTGTAGGTATCTGGTTAACAAATGCCAGTGTGTCGGTGCCCGAGGCCAGAGAGGGGATTGGATCCCCTTGCAGCTGGAGTTAGAGGTGGTTATGGGTGTTGGGTGCCAAGCTCTGGTCTTTGTAGGTGCTCTTAGTTGGCCATCTCTCCAGACTCCCTTATAACTTTTTACTTGGAATGAGCCGTGAGGCTTCAGCGGGAGCACAGGGCCTCCATGGAAAGACCTTATTGGGTTATGTTAAACTGTGGGCTGGGAGGTATGGGGACACTGAGAAGGGGTTTCAGGTGTAAAGGTGTGGACAAGGAAGAGACCAGAGGGCAGGTGGGCACATGTCACTCAAGGGGAGGCACAGAGTGGATAGTGGGTTACGAGCCCCAGAGGTGCTAACTTGTAGTTCCTGTCTTGTTTAGCTCTGGGCGCCAAAATAAAATGCTACAGATTGTGTGACTCTCACAGCAGAATGACCCCTGGAGGTGGAAGTCAGGTTAGGGTACATTGCTGGCTCGGTGGCCACCTTTCTCCTTTTCCTTCTTAGGTATCTTCCCCCCAGATTTCCCCTCCTCCAAAGGACAGCAGTCAGGTTGACTGAAGGCCACCCGCATAGCCACTCTTAACTTTCTGTCTGGAGGCTCTGTCTTGAAATCATTAAGTGTTGAGCTTTAGTATATGGATCGTGGGGAGTGGGGCTCAGTTTGTGGCAGATGTGCATGCAGAGTGAAAAGGACACATCTGGGCTCTGAATTCTATGACTGGGCAGTGACTATTTCCACACCCGCACGGGAGGTGAATGTGTCTTGTGTTCTGGGCCGTGGGTGGAAGTGATGGTTGGACAGCAGTGTGAATGAGCTTTATGCCGTGGCTAAGACACTTAAAAGTGGCCAAGGTCGTGACTTTTATGGCATGCGTATCTTACCACCATAGAAATAAAAACACGCTTGAGATAGTGTTGAGTAGTTGTGAATGCAGGAAGCGAGAGCAGCTGGCACTTGGCTTAGGCCCAGCTCTTTGATCTGACGGTGCTTTCCTGTTGACTCTCGATTGTGACTTGATGGATTTTGCTCTGGGCAGAACCAGCCTTTTGTCACTTGGGTGAGCCTTGAGTGGAAGTACTCAAGTTCCCCATCACTCAGAGACTCATTCTTGGTGGAGTCCCTTGGGAGGAGAGAGGGGGCGTTTCAATCAATAGGTATCAGTATGCCGGTCACAAGGGTGCCCCCAAGTTTTCCTTTGAGCATACATGTTTATAAAGTCTTCTTGCACCCTTAATGTTTAATGGCTCTGGATAGACACCCGATAGGAGCAAGCTTGTTAAAATTGTTGCTTGCTAATCAGAACCACATTCTTTGGGGGAAGCTTGGAGTGGAGGCGCGAAGGCAATTTAGGAAATCACTCAGCAGCAGCTGGAGAATGCTCCCAACGAGTTAGAAAATTGGATTGAACAGTATGCTATGAAAGACGGTGGTGGTGGCGGTCATGTCGAAGCTCAGAAATGTGAAGTGTTTTGTATTCAACGTGAATGAATTACTCTTCTGTTTGCCATCAACAGTTTTATTTCAATCACAAGTATGCATCCAAGGTTACTAAGGTGTGTGAGTTTTGCAGCTTTATGTTACAAACACAGGCCACAGAAAGATGGGACTGCAGACAGATGCCAGTCTGATGTAGCCGTGGCTTCTGCATTTTAGAAAGTCTCAAAATTACAGATGCCTGCCTCTTCTGTGATCTGTTCAGGGCTGTCCTAGTTAGATCTCCCACACATCTGGGCTCTGCCCACCCCATTGTCTCGTCTTTGCATGTCTTCATCGACACAGGCCACTGTGACAAAATGCCATGACTGGGTGACTTATAAGCAACAGAAGTGCACGCCTCATGCTGTGGCGGCTGGAAGCCCGAGAGGAATTGCTAACAGATCTGATCTCTCATGAGGACTTGGTGATTCGCAGACACATGTCTTCTGCTTTGCCCCAACTGACAGAAGTGGTGCCGCCCGTCCGTTGGTTCTGTGTTATAAGGACCAACACCAATCCAGTCCATCACACAGCAGATTCTCATGAGACAGCCCCACCTCTCCATACCATCCCACGGGCGATTAATTTTCAGTGTGTGCACGTGTGGAGAGACAGACGCCTTGAGCACCCTGCAGTGGCTCACCACTCCGCTCCAGCTGGTTACACACTCACCCTCACCGCTAGGGTGCAGTTCCCAGTCCTGGATGGAAGAACAACGTCGTCTTGGCAATCTGCCCCACCGCCGTTCATGCTCCATGTAAACTAGAATTCCAGCATTCTAACATGTATGTTGGCTTGTTGAAAGACGTGTGCCTTTTTTACACCTGCCTATTTTAGTGTCGTTCCTTCTTAGCCTGGCGACTGTATGTCAGGAGAAAGGAAGGAGACAGACCTACTTGCCTGCCTTTCTCTCGTGCACCTCCAGGAAGCATCATGCTTCTCTCTGTGTCTGGAAGATGCTCATAGTCCATGACCCGTAGCGCTCTATGTGGGTGGTGCTGAATGATTTTACCCTTCAAGCCCGTACTGGACTTAGTACATGGAAGCACCCAGAGCCACAGCACCCCTCCAGGGCCACGGCACCCCGCTAGGGACACAGAACTCCTCCAGAGCCACCGCTCCCTACCAGGGAACCCCAACATTTGGGGGAAACACCTAATTTAGGGAAAACAACACCATCAATTAGAAAATTATTTTTAAAAATTAAAATATAATTGTGTCATTTCCTCTTCCCTTTTTTCCCTCCAGTTCCCATGTGCCCCTGTTCCCTCTTAAAATCATGGCTTCTTTTTCTTTTTTCTTTTGTGTTATTGTAACACACACACACACACCCCTAAGTGTATAATTACAACCTGCTCACTCTATATAATGTTACACAGTGACGGCGCACAGCAGCCCTGGTTGGTTCATCTGCAACAGAACCCTGGCATCTAAGTGTTCGGGGAGCATCACTGAAAAGTGGGAGCGAGAAGTGTTAGGAGAGGGCCAGGAAGTTTGCTGTGAACACATTTGGAAATGTCAGAAGCTGCACCTGCTAATTCTCACCAGCACGGCTGCCTAGCATTACCTGAACAAGGACGACACCAACAGACCTACCAATGTGGATGTCTGGTACATGGATGTGATACTTAGGAATGCTGAGACCTTCAGACATAGTCTTCCCCAGGGGAAGAGCACACCAGCTGGGTATCCAACACCAAGTGGTCAGCCCTGAAAACATACATACAGTAACATTAAACAGACTGAGCAGGTTATAATCTATATTTAGGTATCTCTGTGTGTGCCCAAGATCTGTGACTTCACCAGGTAGTTGACTAGGCTTCCAGTACTAAGCATTATTTCCTTCCTGTCGAGAGCCCCTTCAGTCCATTAGAGAGCTGTTGGTTACCGGGAAGACATGTGTGCCTCTAGTGCACACTTGGGTCATCATTCCATGGCGGTCATCATTGTCTTATAGCTGTGGTAGCTGGAAGTTTGCATAGTACCTTCTGATACTATGAAAGCTAGTCCTCAGAGAGAAGTAGCCTTATTTTTGGGAGAGAAACTAAGGCTGTATGAGGTTTAGTAACTAGCTTCATGAGAGTAGACAGGGATTTGAAGAGCTCGATTCCGTGTCTTCCCAAGGCAACCTCACTCTGACAACGTCACTTTGCCGGCTTGTGGCCTCTAGTCCTGATGGTTGCTCTGTGTGAGGACTTGGGAACCCAGAGTATATACAGAGCTGCCTGTGACAGCCCTCAGCCAGTTTCCCCTGACCGAGTCATATGCTAAGGCTGAGTTCTCCTGGGTCTGCTATGAGAATGTGGGTGGGCTGGAAAGGGGGCAGTCTAAACACCAAAGGTTGAGGTCATTGACTTCTTGCCTTTTAAATTCTGGAGATTTTCAGTTCTAAATGAATATTTGCTCCCAGCCTGGGGAGGTAGGATTGTGGTGGAGACTGGTTGTGGCCTCCTCATTCACTTTTCTTATTTAGGGGAAGAGATTGCCAAGTGTACATTTGTAAAGTAACTGAGGTTCCGAGGCTACTCGTTTACTTTTATTCTTATGACTCAGCTTGGTTTTTATTCTTACTACTCAGCCTTGTTGTTGTTGTTTTGAGACAGGGTGTCCTGTAGTTCAGGCTGGCCTCAGACCTGCTACATAGTCGAGGATATCCTCCACCTAAGCCTCCTATCCCTACCTCCTTGCACAAGGATTGTCGGTGACACTGCCACCGGTTCACGCCCTGCGTGCACTCCACCAACTGAGTGATGGCCCTAGCCCCTAAGAGTTTTTATTAATTAATGTGTACATCATAAATGGCACCTAAGAAGACATGTAAGGAAACAACCACTTATGTGATATAAGGCTGTTTCTTTAGGATCCCTGTATCACAGTAAGGTAATTAGAATTTCAGTCGAGTCATGTTTTGGAAAATTAGTACTGTTCAACTGCTTTTATGATGTCCCACACCAATTTCGATTTTTAGTCATATACTGTGCAAATATGCACAACTGTTAAACTAAGATTTAGAAGAAAAGTAGCAAGCACAGCCTCTTCTCCTGGCTACTTTCAGGGTTTGTTAGAGCAAGGCTCAGGTGCGGTGGGTGGATTTGAATGCTTCGTCCACATTATTAACATATTTAATTTTTAAGGTTCATTACTGGTTGTTGTGAGCTGCTTTTGGGGGTGCTGGTAACCAAAGTTGATTCTCTGCAGAAGCAGTGCCCCTACCCTTAGCTGCTAACCGTCCTCTTTAACCCGTGTCTAATTTCTGTTTCCAACTCTTTTAAAGTACACCCCATTGCTGTGTTGTCTTCGTGTCGTTGTGGCTTGAGCTCTTATTTTGCAGTTTGGAGAATCCCGCTAATGTGTTTTCTCCTCTGGTGGCTTTTACATCTGTAGGTGCATCTGCCAGACCCTGCACGAGAAGGTCACCATTTTAGTGACGCACCAGCTGCAGTATCTGAAAGCTGCCAGCCACATCCTGATATTGAAAGATGTAAGTCGTTACTTGCTTTTCGCAAGCACAGCTGAGGTTTGCCAAGAGATTTCAGTACAGAATGTAAGTGGCAGTGTTCAGAGAAGGGAGAGTCCTTGAGAAGAAAGTCAGATACACCCAAGAGCAAGGTTATAGGCTCCACAAAGGCAGGTTGAGAGTGTGAGCAGCTTAGAGTCCACTGAACCAGCTAGAACCTCAGCTTGAAAGCGTCCTGTCAGGCTGCTCTCCGTGGACTTCTTGGGAAGCTGCCTTCCCTCCCCGAATTTCACACCCATTTCCTAGAGTTGAGATTCACACCTCTGAGGATAGCTGAAGAACTTTCAGAAGCACCACTGTGAGGGCTGGGGTGTGGCTCCAGGGTTAACCACAGTGGGATACCTAAGACAGGTCACTCAGTAGTTTTCTCCTTTATTGAAAATAGATTTTTTTGTTGGACAATATATCCTTATTACATTTTTCCCTCCCTCTGTGCCTCCCAGTTCTTACCTCTGCTCCCGTCTGGATCCACTCTCTTTCTGTTTCTTAGAAAAGAACAGGCTTCTAAGAGATACCAACCAAGCATAACAAAATAAAACATAATAGGATCAAACAAAATCCATCGCATCCAGGTTGGAGAAGGCAAATTAGAGTCCGAGAGCAGGTGCACTCACTCTGACACTTAGGAGTCCTGAAAACACCAAACTGAAAGCTACAGTACCCATGCAGAGGACCTGCTGCAGACCCATGCAGGCCCTGTGTGTGCCGCTGTACTCTGAGCACCCGTGAGCCTCGCTCAGTGGATTCAGAGTTTGTTCTCCTGCTGCCCTCCATCACCTGGCTCTTACATGCTTTACACTCCTCTTCTCCTGAGCTCCACGGGGAGGGATTTGATGGAGAAGACAGGTCACTTTTATAAGGAGAAAGGGTCAAGGACACAGTTCCTCCATGGGCTCCCTTCTGAAAGGCCTTCCCGGCTGCAGCTCTGGAAAGAGGGCACAAGGAGGCGCTCACACACTGAGAAACAACACCGAGAGACCCAGGTTCCTTCTGCACTTAGGGCTCCCTACCAGCTGCCACCTCCCTAAGGTTCCAGAACTTCCCAGTAGTGCCACCCTAAGGACCAAGCCTTTGATCACACAGTAGGGGACACAAATAATTAAGCCACATCCAAACCATAGGATCCTTCTGCAATCTCTTGGCCAAAGATGGAAATGACAGATGAGTGCTAGCCAGAGTTCACAATATTTGTGTGCAGTTACTCTCAGCGAGAGAAATTACCTATTGCTATGGTAAACAGGCTGGGTGATGGTAGTGGAGTGCCTGCAAATGTCCTCTAGTGCCTCCTTGAGACTTCCTGTGGCTTCCAAAGAGAGGCGAGGGAGCTGTCAATCAAAGTTCCATGGAATAAATTCTCACCACAAAGAAGATTATATAAGGCAGGGTGACTATCCCCTTAGCAACAACTTAGTGTGTCAGCTGTCTCCTATGCCCCTGGGAATTGGAGCTCAGATTCCTCAAGCTGGAAAACAATTAATTTCATGTGCAGAGAGCTGGATATTCTGCCTGCAGGGTCAGTCGGTATAGAGTCAGTTTTGTCACCTGTCCCCACATGGCACTGCTTTTGAGACCCTGCCTCCTGCATACTTCGAGTTTTATTTTTAGCACGCCACAATTCATTCACCCACCCTCAGGGACCCTGGAGAAACTGAGGCACGCTGTTATTACTAGTCTGGACCCCTCTAACAGCAGAGAGGATGGGCCCCCTGCCACACTCCTGAAGCTTGTCTTAGGAACTGCCCCCTTGTGTGTTTTGCTCAGAGGAAGGGCGTGACTACATTAAGTAAGTGTACAAATCAAATCTTATCTCCTAAGTGTAACAAGACATGGCGTTTCAGGAAAAACTTCCTAATCCTTAGGTGACCGGGTTATTGTAAGCCCAAAGGCATTAGGATTTTCCTCAGTGGGGTGGGGGTTGGGAGAGGACAGAGGAGTAGGTGGGGTCCAGGGTCATTTTTTTCTAACCTGACCTGTCCTCACTTCAGAGCTACTCTCCTCTGATTCAGGGCCCCCAGGATTTTGTCTCATATTAATTTATGGCTTTAGATAAATCATTTGGGACTCACCTCATGGGCTCAAACATTGTGAAGATATTTACACATTATTTCCTACAACGTTGGTCAGGAGGAGAACACTGGATTAGATGTCCCGTGGAATGTTGAGTCTTCAGTGAGGATTGTAGGGGACAGTATAGCCTGCTAAAAGCTGGCTACAGGTGTGCCTGACCACACCCATTAGGGCATGGTCAAGGTGAGGTCAGGATGACACATGATAGGGTTTAAAGGGACAGACACATGGGAGCCCCTTCTCTCTGGCCTCCCTGCCTTGCTACCCCTGGCACACTCTGGCTTGGGTTTGGCTGGCATTTATCTAATAAAGAATATCTTAATCTCACAGGTTACTAAGCCCCTTCATTATTAGAGGATCTTGAATTTGGGCAGGAAGTTTTAATCTAAGGCCACAAAGTTTGCACATGTCTTGCCCCTAAGTGGGCAGGTGGCCAGCTAAGGCAAGGTGAGTGTGTCCTACCTAGGTAGAGATGTTCATGACCCCTCCCTGTCAATCAAATTTCCCACTGCCTAAGTCCTCTCTGTGCTCTCACGAAAGACCCCGTGGACTCTCCTGTCATCTATGCCCTTTGCTTCCTTCAGTGCCCATGGCATTTGGGTAGTAAGACAAGATGACATGTTGTTTTATATTGCCAAGCACCTAGAATTTGGCAGAAAACAGGATTCTCACTTAGGAGGCAAGCTGAGTTACTCCATACTTGTCAACCAGAGCTCCGGACCCAAGAGCAACTGTAGCTTACGGCCCGTTGAGTGTGGTTTGGTCAGATTAGTGTTGTTAAGTGCTGGTGTCTACCTCTGAAATTCCTTTTATTTTAGGGTCAAGTGGTACAGAAGGGGACCTACACCGAGTTTCTGAAATCTGGCGTGGATTTTGGTTCCCTTCTGAAGACGGAGAACGAGGAAGCAGAACACCCCTCAGCTTCAGGAACCCCAACACTCAGGAAACGAACTTTCTCCGAGTCCTCAATTTGGTCTCAGCAGTCGTCCAGGCCCTCTTTGAAAGATGGGGTACCAGAGGGCCAAGATGTGAGTTCATCTTGGGTTGTATGTTCTCTTTGTTCTTACAGACCTTGTGACCCTTTGAGTCACTCTGTTGGTGGCAATTTCATCCATCCTGATGTGAGCCTGTGAGTCTAAGGTGTTATGCAGTGTCATTGGCAGAGTTAAAATAGACTTAAGGGAGAAACCCTGGCTGTGGCTCTCTCCTGGGTGTGGGCTGGAGAACCTCACAGACATCCATAGTGGCTGTGCTATGAGAACTTCCAAAGGTCTGTGTGACTCTTGGATGCCTGGAGTCTAGATTTTTACCATGGGCAAATCTGGGGATCTCAGGCTTAGCTTTTGTATCCAGAGACTAAACATGAAGAACCCTTCGGAGCCATGGTTCTCACCCTTCCTAATGCTGAAACCCTTTAATACAATTCCTTACGTTGTCATGCCCCCTCCAGCCTCCAACCATAACATTATTTTTGTTCCTACTTGATAACTGTAATTTTTGCTATTGTTATGAATCATCATGTACATATCTGTGTTTCCAGTGGTCTTCATTCAGTCCCCAAAAGGGTCGAGACCCACAGCTTGAGAACCACTGTCTTAGACTCTTCTGTGGTCAGATTGCATCGGTTGCTTTTGTTATTTGTTGGATTTTAACAGTGTAGGTGGCAGACAGGAGTTACCTGCTTTATTTTAGATGCTTTTTGTACGTCAAGAAGGACACAGATCTGTGACCTTAGCACATGACAGACTCTTAGTTCCTCCGTTTCTTCATTATTCACTCTGAGGGCCACAGCTTATTCCTCACAGAGCGCCCAGCAGCCAGCACAGGCCCAAGTGTGTCTTCAGCTTATGTGAAGCTGTGCCGTATTGGAAGCTTTTCAAAGCTTCTCCTTTGAAAAGAAAGTCATCCTTGGAGTTGGCATGACATGGGGACTGGGATTGAGTTAAAGTCGCTTATGTAAAGGTGGCATGTGTGCAAATAGCCTGCCTGCTTCTGTGTATTTTAAGCCATCTCTAGATTACTTATAATTCCCAACACAATATAAACACTATATAAACACTTGCTACATGATATTACTAGGGAACAGTGGCAAAAAAATGTTCACATGTGTTCAGTATAGATGACGATTTTCCTCCTCTGAATGTTCTCCATTTGCAATTGTGGAACTCAAGCATGCTGGGTCTGACTATCCGAACCCTCGTTTTCCAAATCTAGGAGCCTGGATTATTCTGCTGTAAATGGGTATGCTATCCTCCCTCTTGTGCACAGGTTTCTACTCAGTTACTGTATTTGGCAGGCAGTTTGAGCCATCTGGTTATTCTTCTTGGTGTTGTACTCAGAGCCTTGCATATCCTAAACTCTCACCTTAGGCAGACGGCACTCCCGTTCTGCCCTGTCCTCTTCCATGGATGAGTGACATTTTAGTTCTCGTCCTTGTGATTGCCCTGAATTTGGGTGTTAGGCAGTGCTATAAATCATGCCGCTGTGCTCCAAGCAAAGCCATGGCACAGTGAACAAATACTCCTGGACGTTAGAGGACTGGGTCCAGGGTAGATACTTTGTCAGGTTGGATTGACACTTGCAATTAAGAATTGCCATTTTGATTCCTACTGGCAATGGATCATTTACCTGTTTTCCCGGAGCCTTGTGAACAATCAATTTTTAAAAACTTTCTGTGTTACTAGTTTGCTTTCCTTTCACAGACAGAAAATCCACAGGCCGTGCAACCGGAGGAGAGCCGCTCTGAAGGGAAGGTCGGCTTCAAGGCCTACAAGAATTACTTCACTGCTGGTGCATCTTGGTTCTTCATCCTTTTCCTTATTCTGCTGAACATGGCGGCTCAGGTACGCAAGGACACCCGTGCCCTCAGTGTGATACTTACACACTTATTTGTGCATGATTGATGCACCATGCCGTTCACTCAGGATTTACAGTGTGATGTGCTGTCTGATAGGAAGCTACATCAGTGATGCTAGCTGGGTTGTAAATGTGTAGAAGAAAAAAGCGGGGTTGCCTCGTAAGATTTTTGCCATGACGTCTTGTCTGGGAAGAGGGGTTTGGCGTAGACGTGAGCCTGGGACTGTGGTTGTGCTCTGGAGACCTCCTCTAGACCGCACATCTTGGTTGTTTTCAGTTTCAGGTTTGGAAGTCAAGCCAATGTTATATTTCACTTCCCTTTCAGGTTTTCTATGTTCTTCAGGACTGGTGGCTTTCCCACTGGTGAGTTGTTCCGGACTGGGTTAAAGTCTGTAAGAGTCATAGGTAGCTTCATTTTCCCACTGGTTTCAGGGGGAAGTGGGGTTTGTGGGACCTGCTATTCCAGCCTTAGTCACCTGAAGAGAAAGAGCAGAGTGATAGTGATGTGTGCCCTACAGTGGTCTTTACCCACGCCTGCTGCGTGTTGAGAACTGAATGCCAAGATTCAAACTGAGTTTTTGGTTTGTTTTTCAAGACATGATTTCTCTGTGTAGACCTGGCTGTCCTGGAACTCAACTCTGTAGACCAGACTGGCCTCAAACTCACAGAGATCCACCTGCTTCTGCCTCCTGAGTGCTCGGACTGATGGTGTGCACCACTCCTGCCTGACTTTAAATTTTAGTGTGTGTGTGTGTGTGTGTGTGTGTGTGTGTGTGTGCTCTCGAGCTCACTCTCCTGGTGGCTGCAGAGTCCAGAAGAGAGCACCAGATCCCAGAATTACAAACAGTTGTGAGCCCCATGTAGGGCTGAGAATCACATCCGGATCCTCTTACCCACTGACCCATCTCTCCAGCCCAATTCAAACTCATTTTCAAAGACGGATACACAAAGGATTGTGTGAGCTGAGAATCGTTCTCTAGCAAGAGACCTTTCTCTCAAAAAGGTTCCTTTTTTAAAAAAATATTTACCTAAAACATTTTCCTTCCATGTTTCTTCCATAGGGCAAACAAACAAGGTGCTCTGAATAACACCAACAATGCAAATGGAAATGTAACCGAGACCCTAGATCTTCACTGGTATTTAGGAATTTACTCAGGTAACGTTTAGCCATGGGGTCTATTACATGAGAGCCTGAGGTGCTGACGATGCGCCTGTGTGAACTACCAGAGCTCCTAGGAGTAATTCAGCAGCGACTTAACAGATTAGGAGACTGAGTTGCATTCACTCTCTGAATTAATTAGAATAATTATTTTTTTTAATCTACCAGAAGAAAGAGATTGAATGAAGACTCTTAATTTGCTCTATACTGGGTTTTGAAAGTTAAACTAGGATTGAGCGTTCAGAAAACCAGCCACTGGAACTGCGTGGCTATTGTCTATTCTAATAGGTTGCTCTCGCTAACTCTTCTATTATTGTATGGATGGGCGGGGATTAGAAACGGATCCCAACCCTGTGCTTTCGATTGCTCCAATTCTGTCTGAATAAGCCCAGGCCTTTATTGAACTTGGATGGAATCCCGTGGCGGCAAGGTCCCCAAATGAAACCCGTATCCCCTCTCAGGTATGCACAGTTCCCTTCAGCACACGGCCCGTCTCTCGGGCTTCACTAATTACTGAAGAGGGAGAGAAGCAGGGAGAACCCAGTGTCTAGGGATTAGGGCTCCTTCTCTTCCCTACCTCGAAATCAGCAATGTTATCATGTCTCCAGCTGTGTGATTAATTTAACATTTGGTTTGCCAGACGAAGGTTAACTCCACACTCTGTTGTCACAAGACTGTCTGAAGTATTTGTAGAATTACCTACTTTAAGAAAGAGAATCCTCACCTGAAGTTTCAAGCATTCCCACTGTTGCTTTGCTTGGACAGAGCGAATTATCTGCTAGAACCCACTCGACGAGATTGGTGCTTATTTTGTTGATCCCTTGCTAAGAAATCTTAATCCACTGACTGGTTACCATCCCAACTGGTGGACTATGCAAGACCTACAGGGAAATAGGTCCATTTCTACTCAAGTAGGCTGGGCAGCTAGGGGAAATGCGTGTGTATAGAGTTTGCTTTAGAGGTTAGATCATAACACTCTAACATCAGTTCTTCCAGCTCTGGGTGGCATTGTGAGCTAAAGGCTAGGAGATACTGGGAGAACAGAGGTTAAGGATGTACCTCGGTGGTAGAAGGCTTGCCTCATATGGGTAATGATGGTCCATCCCCAGCACACACATATCTGTGCAGAGTGGTTATCCAAGCACGCCTCAATTAAACATACAGTTTAAACGGAGCTCATTCAAAATGCATGATGTTTGTATGAGACGAGCGTCGATTGGCTGCTCATTTAATTATCTGATGTTAAAACATGGTTTGTGTTTTCTCACAATCCAGCCGTTTAAAAGTTTTTCCATGTGCAACTTACTGTGGAGTTTTCAAATTCTTTAAAGCTACTTGGGCATTTACTACAGGGAAAAGGTAAATCTCTTCTCTGTTAGCATCCAAACCCACTGCAGTGATAGGTTGTGGGGCTCACAAACAATCGTTGGATATGGAGACACAAAGGACAACTTTCCTTTGGTTATATTTCTTCTGAGGTTTTACTAGCACAGGCAATTTTTTTAAAATTAAAAGCCTGCTGTTTATACTTTATCCACCCCACCCCTACATACGTATTTTCCATTCGGTGAGAAAAAATTTAATCTTTGTCAGTGTATCTTTTAAATGCATCGTACTTAGGTGGAACCTAGATATTTATGTGATAAGTGATATATTTATAGACTTAGACCCTGTTTTCTCTGGGTGGTTTTCCTTGTTTCAGGGTTAACGGCCATTACGGTCCTCTTTGGCATAGCAAGGTCCCTGTTGGTGTTCTACGTTCTCGTCAAAGCTTCCCAGACATTACACAACAGGATGTTTGAGTCAATCCTGAAAGCTCCCGTCTTGTTCTTCGACAGAAATCCAATAGGTAAGTCACGGGCCGGAAATGTGTCCTGTTGACACGTTGAAGATCTGATGAGGTTTCGGTCTTTGAAAGGGAGGTGACATTGAGAGAAAACCTTTCTGCGTCTTTGTTTGTTTTCTGCAGCAAGCTTCCCTGATGTTTCTCTCCCACAATAGGAAATCTCAGTATCAGTTGCATAGAAGTAACAAGACATCTGTCTGCATTCAGTTTGCAGAGCTGTGCATCCCGTGGTCTCGTGGCTCAAAGAGCTCCCTGCATGCCTTGCAGGCAGGTAGAATCTGTTTACACAGTTGCTAAGACACCAGTTGTGTTCACACCACATTGGCCTGTACCACCTTCCAGAGGGGTCTCCTGAGGAGGAACCCTCCCTGAGTAGGAGACGAGGGGCTGTGTACTTGTTTCTTTTCTTGGGAGGATCATTCATTTCTTGGAGTGTGAGGACTTGACTGAGAGGTTGACCTGACCAGTATTAAAGATAAAGGCACCCCCAGTAAAAGTTTCTGACTCTGTATTTTATCTTACTTTTATTATTTAATGTAATGTAAATATATTATTTATTTAGTATTTTGAGATATTTCCTTGCTACTGTTGCCCTGGCTGTCGTGGAAGTCACTCTACAGACCAGGCTAACCCTGAGCTGGCGATAGCTCTCTTACCTCTTCCTCACAAGTGCTGAGATTCTGGAGTGTACCTTTACATCCCGTTTAGCTCTGTTTTTAAAACAACAACAACCCCCACCCCCACCCCGACTTCCTTCTTTGTCGTTTGTCATTTTGCCATCACCCGTGAGTCTCTTAACTCTGTGGACTTTGGTTGTATTCCAGAGTCTTTGTCCTAAGGAGATGCCCTGTACTCGGTGCCTTTGCATGATGGATGGGGCCCCACACAGAGGTCCTCTCACCCAGTTTGCTTCTGCAGGTACTTCCTTGGGCCGGAATCCTAGGCAGTGTTAATCATCACCACAGACTGTGGTCATCCGGGGATCATTGATGAGGCCTGGGGTAGCTTTATCTGTGCAGTTGATAATTCTGGGACCCTTTGTGGAGTAAGCTGGCCTGGAGGGAGCACAGAGGACCGGCTGGCCATCAGGTAGCCGCTGGCCTCTAGCAAAGCATGTAGATAGTGTCAGATGAACAGATTTTTGCAGTAGGATGTGTCGGTTAAAAGCCAGTGGCCATCTTAACACCAACTCCTCGTGAGAGCCACTGGTTACATCTGTGACGATGCGGGTAGACCAGTTGACTCTATCTCTCCATGCCTTGGCACTCATGTATGCGACATGGGGACAGTATCTTCACCCATCTTGTTAGAAACAGATTTAAGCAGGTGAATGATTCCCAGTGCTTGACGTGGTGCCTAGCTCTACTCCCGACAGTTCTCAGAGGGAGACTGAGTGATAGGGACAGCAGCCCTGGAGCTCCATTTTCCACCCATGGGGTGGAAACACCAATTCTGACTTTTTTCTGCTTCACACGATTGACGTGATGGTTACGTAAGACCATTCTGGAAGGCGTCACAGATGCTGTCTAGTCTGGGCACCAGTTGAGCCCAAAGAACAGTGAACCACGGATGCCACCTTAGGTCTGGCCGGAGCTGCGCTCAGAAGGTAGCTGGACGATTTGGTGCTGTGAGCATTGTAGCTGCTCAGCTAGTTAACTGGAGAGCTGTACGCACGCACGCTGGAGCTTTAGCAGGCTGTGCTCTGCCGCCATCTGTCTTCCAGGTCCTATTCACCAGGTGCTTCGTTTTGTGTTCATGCTGGAGACCCGTGGGCTTTTCCTGGTACTGATTTTATTATTAGTTGAGGGGTTTAGGGCCCAGTCTAAATCTTGGGTAACTAATCCTACATCAAGTCAGAAGCATTCATTCTACTTCTCCCTGCTGTGTCTCTTAGCAGGACATTCTCCCTGCAATGGAAACACAGTCCAAATATACCCCAAAAGACAGACCTCATTTGCCACAGTGTGAGCATGAATTACTTACCTTTTTAGTGGAGTACTTAAAAAGAAAATTAAAAAGCTTTTTAAGACTTCAGTTCTCATTTGAACAATATTTTGCACGTTTTACAATGGTGAGGAGAAACATCGAAGGTAGGCATTATGCTATATTAGCCTGATTAATTATAATTATTTATGTACGGAAGTGGTTATTAAGCATATAATGTGTCCAGAAGCAACCCTGTTATGTCAAGCCTCTTTAGTTACACAGCATGTTTGCTGGGCAACACAAAGACACAAGAAACATACCTTTAAAAATATTTCTTCATAGACAGCCCTCAGGAGCCCCTGAGGTGAGCAGGGGTTTCCTGCTGCCTCTGTATTACTGTCCCCTTCCTGATTTTAGACAACTTCAGGGACTGGAAGGATTTTTGCCATCATGTGGTATCTAGTAAGCTAGACACAGCAGGATATGGTACAGTGGGGTCCCCGTAGCTCTGCCCCCCAGAGTCCCCTCAAACCCAGCTGGGACCTGAGATCTGACCCAGCCATTCCTTCTCTGGTTGCCACTTGTGTCAGAATCCCAGAGACTGTATTCTGGAAGTGTCTTGTTCCTTCTGTCATGGGTTTGCTCTGCTCTCCACACAGGAGTGTTATCTCTTCTTGGCCCTGTCTCTGGTGCTAATCAGCTGGGTGACCTTTGTCCAGAGACAGAGGACTTCCATGGGGGCTACAACACTGGCCACAGAGCCAGCATCCCTAGTTTCTGACTGGAGAGTGTGGGCCAAACCTGAAGGAACAGGTTTCTTCTCCTCTACGATGATAGGGTCATTCCATATGGCTGATGACCAAGGTCACACCTTAAGTCAAAGATGTGAAGTTACTCTCGTATAGAACCCATGCCTGAGTATGCAAAGTTAGTCACAGTGTGCTTATATAGTATGGCCCCTGACTGTTTGCTCGTGTTTCATAGTCCCATAAATCTTAAGCTCGTAACTAGGACCAATTTTGAACCCAAAGTGTCTGACCTCAGATTGCCAAGAGCCAGCTTTGCTTCTTCCTCCACACCCCTCTTTGTTTTCTGTCCTCCTCTCCTTTGAGGTGTTCGTGAGGCCTGAGGAGCCTGCTCACTGAATCCCCTCTTCTTTCCCGCGTTTGAATCGGAACTCCATTTGCACAGTGTTTATAGCCATCTCCCCATCCCTTCCCGTCGCCCGTTTCCTCATCAAAGTTTATCTCCCACCTAGCACTTCGGTTCAAGGAGATCTTAATAAACAGGGCCACACAGATTCTGGTGGAGAGTGTTAGCATCGGGTTTCTCTTGTGATCACAAACAGGCTCCCCTCGCAGGGAGCCAGGTTTTTCTGGACATTGGCCACAAGGGGGCAGCATGAGCCGCAGAATTGCAGGGATGGAGTCCCCAGAGCGCTTGCGTGGCCAAACCTGGGTTTGCCCTGAAAGCTTTCTTGGAAAGTTGTCCTTTTCTAGTGTGTGTTTTTGCATCTCATTAGACCTGGCAGAAAAAACTTTAAAAAGCGCCCCCCCCCTTTATTTACATGACCGGAACATGAAGCTACATTAAAGAAATCTTTGCCTGCTGCTTGGGAACACCCCGCATTTCCAAGAGGATGTTCTCATTCCCACTGAACACTTTCTGGACTAGACCCTGGAACAGGCAGGGACTGTCCCCTGGCTGGATGTGTGCTATCTCCTAAAGGGTCGTTCTGACTGACTGCTGTCCTCCTCTCGGGGAGAAAGATGAGCCCCGCCTCCTGAGTTTTATTCCCACATCATCGGAACCCACAAAGATCTCATATTCCATGCAGTCACGCAAATTCTCCTTTCAATTTTTCTTCGGAGACCAGCAGAGCGGCTGGCTAGTGGCCCTGTCTTCTGTTGTCCAGTAGCGAGTGACTGACTGCATTAACTTCAGATTCCATAGAAATATTTAGCTTTACTTCATCAGTTTGCCTGTAAGAAATGGAGCCAGCAGTAAAGGTTGATATGTCTGGAAGGTACAGGGTTAGTCGTGGCTGGGGGCCAGTGTGTTCATTCACATGACACATTTTTTTTTTTTCTGTTATGTGTGTGCTGGTGTGTGCATCCCACAGTGCAAAACTGAGTACAAATTTATGTCACCATTTTTTAAATCATGTGAGAAATAAAATACTGGGAAGGGGGGAAAGAGGCGCACTGACTTCTATTGATTTAAAATATATGTTAAATTACACACACACACACACACACACACACACACACACACACACAGATGAAAGTGGCCATGGAGAACGCCACCAATAACCTTAGATTTTAAGATAAGCACTCTCAAGTCCATCCTGATAAAAATCTAGAGATTGCATATAAGATTCACGGCTTGACAGGGTGGGAAATTGGGCTGTAGATGACTTCACAAATATAAACTATTCTAAGTCAGGCTGTGCCTCTTGGAGCGCAGGGAGGAGGGGAGGGCTGTCAGTGGTTTGCAGTATTGTTCTCTTTCTCCAGTCGGGACAGGGAGTCCTCGGAATCCAGGGCAAGTTGCTAAAGAACTCAAGCAGCAGTGAAAAGAGTTGAAAGCTACACAGTGGGCGTTTTGTACCATCAGAAAGGCTGTCTTGCTGGGGCTTTTATAAAAATCAATTGTCAACATACCTTGCCTTCGTCAGAAAAGCAAAAGAAGGAAGTCCTCAATAGAGAAGAAATCTAATTGCAGGATACCTGTCTGTTTATTCAGTTCCAGTGGCCACTGGAGTTAGTGCTAACTGCACATTTTAACAAGTATAATACGGCATTCTCGACAATAATAGGCCTGTTAAATTATAGCTCTGTAAGTGTGGAGGTGAAATGGCTCTGCTCCGCACACAGTAATCTATGCGTGTTCACACAAGTGCATCTGCTGAACAGGTAGCATGTCCCAACAAGAAACACTGGTCCTAAAACCTCTGGTTTATGGAAGGAGTTGTTTTGACACAGCATCATTCAGACGGTTTACAAGGCAAGCTTCGTGTTAAAATATCTCAACGGTGTCAACATTAGTCACTGCGTCACAGACATAAATATTCAGCA